ATTCAAGGAGTTTCATACAAGCTAAATGGTAAAAATGTTGTTAAACATCCTGACTAGTAATATTTCTAACCGTAACATTCTTTGTACTGATAGACCTAGTATTCATGATACTTATAGGTACTTTTGAAAAAACACTTTAAAATCACCAAACTATTATATTCAAAGCTGAACAGAACATTTCAGCAGAGATTTGATAAGCCTTTTAGCTACAAAAAGTAATCATCAAGAGAAAAAGCTCAAACAAATGAGCTGAGAGTATTTAATACCAGGGGTTACATTTCTTTTACATAAGAGTTTTTCTGCTTCAACCAAAACTAGAAATTCAACTACATATGATAAAGGCACGTCTAACCACCTTTGAGTCGACAAGGGTTAACCATTAGCTGCATATTTTGATATCATCAAATGAAAAAGGGCAGATTGTTTTCTACGCCGATATTCTTATGTTTACCGTCTCACACAGAAGTGCAGCGCCCAACTGTTTTGACAAAACAGTTTTAAACTTCATTTGACAAATGTTTTCATCTGGTCATACAAGATTTAATGGGATTTTAACTGATTCTTTAAACATCTAAGCTAACCCACAGCACAGCTGCTACCCTGAATCACAGGCTATTAAAAACATGCAAACACGAGTCAGAAATGATGTACCTGCTGACGCTCTGTGGTACCACTTAGGACAGTCCTTGACACTTCAGAGTTATTGTAGCTTTTGGTCAAAGCCAGAGGCTGATCTATAGCGTAACCAGAAATGGATGCATATGGGTGGTTCCCATGGATACCATTAGAGGAGGTATTAATATGCTCCACAGGACTGTGGCTGAGGCTCCAGTGCTCATTGCGGTGATCTCCAGCAGAGGGACGAGCCCTGAACAAAACAACAGCAGAGCAAAAATATGCCGTCCAGATCAATTGGATTGTACATAACTAACATAAATGCTACTTAGTGTGTCAGATTTATGAGCTAGCGGAAGAAGATGTAGTGTGGGATTAATGAAGCAGCAGAAAAAAAGCTCTCTTAAACAATTATAGGAGGTAAAGAGTAAATGGTTCTTCAATGTTTTGTTCTTTATAACAAATTGTGCATTTATTGGGTATTACATAAAGCATGCTTAAAATTGAGTTTTCTGCAGTCGTTATCGTTACATTCCATTAACTGATCTATATCTCCTAAATGGAAATTAAAACTGAATAAAAAATATGAATTAACTTGATATAACTTTGTGACTTATGCTGTGTGGTGCACTTACAGATGAGTAGCAAACATTCTGCTCATTTTGGTCATGTGGTCGTCGTCACAGTTGAGTCTGTTCTCCATTTGTTCGTCCCCATACTTCCGTTTGTTGGGGCAGAGTGGGGAGGGCCCAGTTATGGTGGACACAGCAGCAGACAAAGAGGGGATCCTGGACTCATCTGTGGAATAAAATCAGCAGAAGCTTTTCAATTTTTACATTCTATCACTATGTATCAAAATAAGGATTATTGATTAAAAATATATAACTTTTTACTAGTTGACCTGGTATATTATCTTAAAAATTATATATGAAAACAATTTCAAATTTAGTTGATCAGAATATAATAAATATAAAAAAGAAATAAGAATATAATCATAAAATCAGTTTTCTAAAAAATAAATTTGGGCCATTACCTTTTTGTATATTTTGTATATTTTTGTAAATATGAATTTAGCACCTTATATACAGGTTATTGGGACAACGACTGGGGGGGTTTTAGTAAGTTGTTTAATAGATTAAAAAATTCCAATACGATTTACACAAGGAAGACAAGTTTAGACTAGTTGCTCTCTTGTATGCAATAGTGTTTTTTTTGTTTGTTTTTTATTTTATAAATTGTAAATGTTTTATAAGTTAACATATGCAACCTTTATGTAAAGTCCCCAAGAGTCACTGCTTTGAAAAACCCCTTTTGGTTCCTTCTTACAGCTGGAGGTGTTTTGGGTTATTTCTCTGCTAGCTTTGCACATCTACAAACTTTGTTTTGGGTCTGAGAACATGGCAAAGTCAGGATGCCGTGTTCAAGGTTATGAGCAGTGTTAGTTCTCCATACATAAGTTCAGATTTTCAAAGAATCAAAATAAAGAACGTTCAACTGTAAGGGGAAAATTAGTAAATAAAAAATGCTATAAGTGGAAATGTTGTTGCTGATCCACAGCGATTGTCACCTATGGATAATCCATGCTATACAGATGTGGTTCATCCCATTTAAATTAGTAAATTGCATATACAACTTTGAAGGGAGACCTTAAACAAAAAAAATAATTTGAAGCAATAGACTTGGAGGTAATAATCATAAGGAAAATAAAAAAAGAGGAAAAACCATGGAGAGAGTCTAGTCCAGGTAGGATCCGTCAGATTTATAGTGCGATTAAGCTCTAAACAGCTGAATTTAACTCTACCATTTCCTTTACCCAAAATATTAGAAGCCACAATAAACCATAATAACTTAATATAGGGATAGTCACTCAGGTACCTTGATTTTAACCCTCTCCTCTCTACAGTTATAAACATTGGCAATGTTTATTATATGATAAATTTGAAAAACGCTGAAAGATTATGATTGCTTGACATAATTGTATACATGTTTAATAAATACAATAAATGTCCAACAAGTGAATCGAAAGAAATTATTATAATCTATAATTGATCTTTTTTATAGAGTTAAAATGTCACATAAGTGTCAAATGCTTTTAAAAAATCTAACAATGTTTAAATTAACAATGCAAGATATAGGGGAGAAACTTTATTTTTATGAATAACATTACTTCTGTGTATTTCTTTCTTGCATTCTGCTTAATGTAAAATAAAAACGAATGTTTTTAAAAAATAATTGAATTTCTGGATTATGTTTTAAGAACATTATCATTAAATGTTACAATTCAACAAGCAAGAGCTGAATTAGTGGGGTGAATGCAATAAAACAGGAGGTAAATGTGCTGTAATGTAACAGTAGTGCTTTGTAAATCAAGCTTTCTAAACATATAGAAATATAATGGATAAACTGACCGTCGTAGTGCAGTCTCCCAATGTTATTGTTCATCTTGTCCAGGAACTGAGAGTTCAACAGGTCCATTCTAGTGCAAAGCATTTATGTGTACAGGCTAGGTGCTAACATTGACGTTAGCAGGCTATCCCCACACAACGAAACAACGCTGACGTAGGTCCTTTAAAAAAGAGACACTGGTGAATTTCATATTGTAAAAAGCGTTCTAATTCAACATATTTGACAAAAGATAATTTCCTAACGATATTTTCTCATTATCAAACTATGTCCCAACAGGCTCAAACACCCACGGGCTAGCAGCACAGCTAACCAACTGTTAGCCACTAAGCTAGCTGCTAAAACTTTACTTATTTCAAATTGTTTCATTTTAACACTTGACATTATATACCTACACGACACGACTAAGTTATAGTGGTGTTAGAAAAACACACTCAGAAAACTAATAATGTTGTAATAGTCTTTAAAGGGAGTTAGGGAAGTAGAATGCAACCTTTAGCTAAGTAACTAACTAAAACGAGCACAGTCGCAAACTCGGTTTAAAAGTTCATATTTAGCTAAAAATTAGACATTGACACGTCGTTAATGACAATTGATTATTCTTAATCCAACAATCCTAATCTCAAACAACAGTAAACCTCTAACGTTACTTACTTGATCGATAATCTAGGTCCTACATCAACAAAACCATAGTTTGTGCTCTGCTTCTTCGTGTACTTTCCCATCACAGGAGGAGGAGCCTTCAAACAAAAGGCCAGCCCCACCGAGGAGACGAGGGATGTTTACGAATCCACCTGATCTACAATCATGTCATAACATGAAACTATAATAACTGTAATATTACGTTGTATTTTCGACTTGCTGGGGATTAAAAAAAAACATGCGTTAAAATAAATTACACAAATTGCATAATAGTTTTTAAAAAGCAGACTTGGATTTAATGACACAGCTCCTCTCTGGGACTAACATTATCAGAAGTGACCATTGGGAACTTAATGCTTAATAAAGTTTATCGTACGATGGATGGATGCACTAAAGTAAAATAACCAGCAGGTGTCACTGTTGCACGTGTCAAACACAAAGGAGAAAAAAATAACATCAGATAGATTAGATTTAGAGACTTAGATTTTATTAGTTATTTTGTTTACACCATTGTAAAACAAAAAGAAATTTCGTTTGGAATAGCTCTCTGGACAATTTCATCTTTTTTTAAAAGTGCAGCCTTGAAAAATACATATATATATATATATATATATATATATATATATATATATATATATATATATATATATATATATATATATATATATATATATATATATATATATATATATATATATATATATATATATATATATATATATATATAAAGTATCCATAATTTGAATATTCATCCTGCAACTGCTCGTGAATGTTCTTATCAGAGATGAACCGTGTTGGCTCTAGATTTGTGTTGCTCCACATGCTCAAAATTGATTGGACACCTTGCAAAGCCTTTTTTAGACATCAAACCCTGTATTTTCACCTTCTTTGTTTTTCTTTTGCTGTGATGCTTTCATATTTATTTATAAAAACAGATGATTTTCAGGTCAAGTTATAGGGTTTGATAAAGCAAACAGGAGTGTTTACTGGATGCGTTTGTCTCGAGGGACCTCTGCAGCTGACGTTTCCTTCCTTTCATTGCTGCCCACTGGTCCAAACAGCCATTTTAGAATCCATGGCTGATAGAAATGCTCTTTATAGAAAGTGGGCAGAGAATCCCATCAAAGTAGGGCGTTAGGTGTTCAGCCTTTGTGATGTATTACATGGTCCCTACCACATCCACTGGAAACCCCTCTTTTTTGTATGGTGGTTCAGAAAAGGATGATGCATGTAAAGCAATAGAAAATGGGGGAGGGGTAGGGAAACCAGGCATGCCACTGAGAGAGAGAGAGGAGAGGACGATGGGAGGAAGGCACAGTCGAGCATCATGTGCTATGCTTGAGAAAAGCACAGGGAGAGGGGATTGGCTGCTGGAAGCTGTAGCGTCACTGAGGGAAAGCTTGGAGGATGCTCTGCAAAGCTGGGAGGTACTACATTCGTTAAGAGTTTGTACGGAGACCCCAGCCTCCATTAGCTACACTCCCACAACCCCGGAGAACCCTGCAGGACGATTTTTCCACACCTAAGCTCTTGTTTACTCCTCTCCAGCCATGAATTACCTGCGCCGACGTCTCTCAGACAGCACCTTCATCTCCAACCTGCCCAATGGCTACATGACAGATCTTCAGAGGCCTGACCCAGCTCAGCCTCCTCCACCTGCTTCCTCCACCCCCGCCAAGTCTCCAACAAGCGGGCCAACACCTCCAGCTGCTTCCCCTGCTCCAGAGAGGAAACCTCAGCTTTCTCAGTCGACCGGTGCTGGCTTCTTCAGCTCCATCACCAATGTTGTAAAGCAGACAGCTGCCTCAGCAGGGCTCATGGAGCAGACCCAAGTCACGACATCCAAGAAGTTTAAGATTCTCCTTGTGATTGATGAACCCCAGCAGGAGTGGTATGGGAATACATCACTCAATCCTAATTAGTTTGCTGTTTACCTTTTCTTTTTTTTCTTTTTTTTTTTTTACAAATTGTTTTCACTTCATCCTTAGTTTCAGTTTTCCTCTAATGACTCTCTTGGGTTTTGTACAGTTAGATAGAGATTTGAAATTACTGATAGCATATCTATCAAATGCATTGCTAAATAAATGTTTATTATTATTAATCCCCCTTTGTCTTCATCCAAAATTCATCAGGAGTAGTGAACAATTAGGGAACTAGAGTATTCTGGTTTGGAGGGATGGTTCTGTTGAGATGACATAACATCAACATAGATGTTTCCTGTTTCCTTCTTTCATCTTCTTTGTACATTTTTGCTGCATTTTCTCTTTCTGTACATTATTTTATTATGCTAAACTGGGCTCCTTGATACAACTGTTCCTATCATTACTTTGTAACACGATGTACTGCATTCGTAGAAAACTGCTGTGCTACAGGTTGTGCTGGACCTCTGGTGCCATTCGAAGCACTGCAGTGCTTTTCTTCAGTCACAGAGGTTTTCCCCCACTGCTCACTGGTTGCATATCACATGACATGCATAACACGGACATAGGAAAAGGTGAATGTAAGGCACTGCATTGGGAACCATCAGTTTAAAATACTGCAAAGCAGAAAATAATGGTTGTATCATCATTGAATCCGTTTCATTTCCCACTCTAGGAAATGACCCTCATTTCATTAGAAAGAAGAGCATGGAATTAAAAATTAAGCATTTTAACCTGATGGTGCCTGGTATCCAGGGTGATCTTGCTGGACAGGATAAATAAACATTTTTGTCTGCATGCTGCACTTAGAATCAGTAAAGTGAGTGCATTTCTTCTTGTAGAAGCCTATCCAGCAGCAATCCACTTTAACTGAAACATTTTATGATGAACACTTATTTGTATAGGGTTAGAGTGGATAGATCATTTTTATGCAAAAGCCTTTGGTTTATTGCATGAAGCTTTTATTTTTGTTTGTTTGTGTTTTTATTTGGATAGAAAGCAGAAGACTTAGTCAACTGCAACCAAGGCATTAAGTCTGAAAATTTTCATCTTGCATCATTGAATAATGTAATGTGTAAATGTAAATCCCTTTATTTTCCCACAATGGGGAAATTCATTCTCTACATTTTGACACATTCCCTTGTGGAGCAGTGGGCTGCCATTGTGTGGCGCCCGGGGAGTAGTGTGGGGTTAAGGGTGTTGCTCAGGAACCAAGAGTGGAGGGTGTGGGGATCAAATTGGGTACTTTTTAAGAGCACAAGCGCACTGCTCTTAACCACTAGGCCAATACTCCCAGAGTTAAGTAATCATATTACAGGAAGAAAAGCATTGTAAGCATTTAGAGGGGTAAAGATGCATGTATCCATCTCCTGCAGAAGCTAGTCAAAGTAAGAGAGAAAATCCTATGTAATCCAGTTGTGTTAGGACAGTTTAAATATTGTCCCACAGTGGTAAATTCAGCAATTACGTCCTATTTGTGTCAGAGGTATGATGAGAATCAGAACAGTGGCCTAAGATGAGAGAAATACAACGGTAACTGAAAGCTAACATATGTGGACTCTATTTTCAAATATGCATGTCGAAACTTATTTCAAATGGCCCACAGAAGACATCGAGGTCACAATTCACAGCAGCTCCCCAAAATTAGGTCGTAACAGAATGGAAATAGGTGTTGTGTTTCTGTTGATCTTAACATCAGCTGCAAAATTCAGATTGTCATGTTAAAATTTGGTATAAAAGAACTTTCGGTAAAAAAAAACATATAAACTATAAATGGTTTAGATTGGTGGCAGTTATACAGCATTCCTGGTTTGCTTTGTTGGCCTATTTTATTCCCCTTGTTTCGTTTAACCCCTGACCCTGACTGTTTTTGACCAGATTGCTTGAATGAGCTTCTTCTGCAGGATATTGAAATTCCTGCTTGGTAATATTAATACTTGTGCTTTGGAAATCACCCCAAGATACAGGAAACATGATTTTATAACAGATCAAACTCTTATCAACAGGGTGGATGTGAGCCATTTGTGTTCATGTGGTCTTTTTTTTTTTTTTTTTAAAAAGGGAAGCTATTTGTGTAGGAGGAAGGATTTAATCAGACATAATTTCAAGCAGAAAAGCTGCTTGATTTTTGTGCATCCTCAGTCTTGTGGTTAGTATTCATCCAGATCTGATCTGGTTAACTGTATACTCTGTGTGCAATTTGTAGTGCAGACATTTTGTCTCTCTTTACTGTACTGCACCATGTGTTTGGTGCGTATAGCTCATTATCACCATGCTTTTTGTGGATAAAATGCACACATGCGGCACTTAAAATAATGAATTTAAAGGGCTTCCTCTGTCTAAGAGCTGCATCTATTTTTAATGACATCTCAGTAGCACTATGCAGAAGGTGTTTGACTGTGTTTAGCTTCTTTGGGTAGTTTTCGGAGGACCTTTCTGCCAGTGGTTCTGATTCACAGTAGCAGGAAAAAATTAGTTTTTTTTATCTAGAGATGTGATAATATATTGAAATTTTACACTCTAAGTACTAAAGATACAGTAAAACAACAACCAAATAATAAACCAAAAAGTAAAAAGGGGAAAAGAGTTTCACCAGAAGATCCCTGATGCTGTTCATGTTTTCACCACTCTCATTGGCAGGACTGAAAGTATATTAAATATGTTGGCAGCTGCTGGGAAGCCTTTGGAGGACGAAAACTGCTCTTTATTTCCTTTAGGTTTTGGCAGGAATCTAATGTTCTCTGTGATGTTGCACATCCTGGGACTAGAACTTAATTTGTGGGCTTTAACTCACACTGAAACTAGGAGTGTGTTGATATCTCTGTCTGTGCTGCCAGTAATTTAAGCCGAAGGGGCCGTGGTAGATCTCATACTTATTTCCTGAACAAGCCTCGATTATTAAGGAAATCATCAGTGAGGGATCATGTTTATCTCTTTTCTCGCTCGCTGTATCTCAGAGAATTTGTGTAAACCATTAAGATATGTTAATGGCACCATTTAGTTCAAATTTCCACTAAACAGCAGATTAAAAGTTTGTATTAGTATTTTTGTCAAAACTACAAATATTGCAAATATTTAACCAACTGCAGAAACCAATATTTTTATACAGCAGTCGGAATTCAGAAAGGATTTTGATAAAACAATTAACTCTTGGGAAATATGAAAAAAGAAACAGGTGTGTATATTAATTTAAGTTTTTTACATATTTTATGGCCTTTTGAATGTCTTGTATGAGGTAATCTTGACTGTTTTTTTATTCAGTTTTTATTTTTTCGATGTATGTACCTCCACCTAATTTGCTTCATATTTGTTTCCAATTTCTTTAAAAAATAACTTTGGCAAAAGTTTAAGATATCTGCGATCTTATGGATGGAAAATATTAGCCACCTATATGGATGTTACATTAAACTGTGAGTTTATTATGTAACCGGTTTTGCATACAGGAGGTTCAGAAAATGGGTTGTGTGCCATATTCAGAGAACAGACAGAAGCATCCTGTCATCCATCCAATGCTTTATGCTTTAGATGAGGCTACCACTCATCCAGACAGGTTCAAATAGTTCCAGGAATGCTGTTAAACAAATTACTCTTATTGCAAGAGAGGCAGACGAAACACTGTACTACATATCTGATTGATGGCTGTAATGAACTGTCTTGTTTTTTAGTAATATGTCAACATTTAAAATAGACAGATTGATAGATTCTTGAGTATTATTAAATGTTTGGATCTGTAAAATGTAGAGGTATAACTGAATAAAGATGTATGTCTTATGCTGGAAAGAGAGCCTTATGCAGACATTAAAAGCATCAGAGAGAGGATGCAGGCAGAATAATTAGACATTAAAATCCAGCAAGGTCTCTACTGCCTGCCTGGCTCTTGGGTGAATCATCCGAATGAAAAATTCTGTCGCAGTAACATGTGAAATATTTAATCAAGATGGCTGTTTTTCTAAATGCTTTGTGAAAGAAGGCGCTAAAGACTAGGTTATTGTTTCACTTTTTCATATTGTTGTATTATTTAAGGTTACTGTAAGCATGCTCAGTGTGGTTAAAATCCCTTCCTTTCAATAAATAAAAAAAAATATTTTCTAGTGCTAAACCAAAAGAGAGAGGAAGAAATTGCTTCAAAACTTCCTTTTCCCAATGTCGTCATTCAACATACTGAGATAACTACACACTTGAACAATTTTGGAAAGCCTAGGGAACTATGTCATGACTTTTTAAATTGTGAGATAGGTTAATTATGTTTGTATATTGATTTATAAGGCTAATTTAAAAACACACAAGTTGCACCAAATGACTGTACATCGAGGCAAAGCAAATAAAGGAAATTATACACAAAAAAAATCTCAGTTGAGCTAAATCGGAATCGGAGGATGTAATAAAAGCAGTGTTGCACCGATACCAGTATCTGGCGGGGCCCCGATCCAGCACTAAAATGGTGGTATTGGTATCGGCGAGTACCAACAAATAGGGCACCCATACCATTTTGAGAGCCAAAAGTTTATTCAGTTATTGCCACCCATTCAAGGTAGGGAATATAAAATTCATAAAGGTAGGCAGCAGCTTGACAAAGCCATAATGGCAATTATTTTACATCCAAGTAGTATACAGTTCTTCATATATATACACACATACACACATCAATTTCAAACAGATCACACAGATATCGGTATAGTACCGGTATCGGCCAATACTGCACAGCCAGGTATCTGTATCGGGGTCTAAAAATGGCATTGGCGCAACACAAAATAAAAGTAAACAGTAAAAAGCACTGCCTCCTTTAGAGGGCATGGAAAATGTAAAGAAATTAGGAGATATATCATTATATATATTTATATATATATGGGGAGGGGGCTTTGGTACTGACAGTTTGTCATGGAAGCAAAGGAATCCAGGTGAGCACAGAGGAGAGCGGATCAGGTTGAACGGAGCAGTGACCTTTGCTCTGGGCTGCCAACTGGGGAAAGCACCAAAGGCGTTTTTTTCAGGAGCTCGAACCTCAGGAACATTAGTTTTAAGAAAACAAAGTTCAGGAACCCAGGCAGGCTAGGAGTTGCCACAGAGGTTAACACTCTGTCACTGGAGAGTTGGCAACAGGCAGTTTAAGTAGTCCACTGCTTGATGGGGAAGAGGTGAAGCCAATCAACCTGCCACTCAGAGGGAAATTGCTTGAGGAGGACCTCTGGAGGAGAAGCTCAAACCTGGTTAAATGAAGGAGGAAACTCCCAGACCCTAACACTGTGGCCCTCCATAAGCCCGATTTGTCCTTAGTTACAATTGCAAAATGCCCGAGGGGTTCACAGTTGTCTGCTGAAATTATTACACATATGTTTAATCGTCATAGGAATGTCCAACTATTATCTTTTAAGAAAGCACATAGCTTCTGCATTTCAGATGTGAAAATGTTTCATTACTAAATGTGTGAATCTTTCCCAGAAGAAAAGCAAAAGAACTTATAATGTAGACTGAAGCTGGTAAGAGATTGTTATAATCTACAGGGTTATAAATCCTGTTCTCACATAATCTGAAAGGCCCTTTCACAGGAAAGAGGCAAATATTCCAAGACCAACGCAAAAACATATCATTACATTTTGCAAATGAAGTCAGGAAAAATAATTAGATGTGTCTAAAGAAAATCTAATTCAAATTTTTATTTATGGCTATTTTAAGTAAATTTATGTAAAGTTCTGAATTTCAAGAAAAAACTCTAGAATATTTTGTCATTTAGCAAATAGAAAAATGTTGGTTATCATAGAGAGGCTAAAAGAGGTTTAGTGTATTTTTTTTTCAGACAGTGTTATACATTGTTTATAGTTTAATCTGTGCAGGAACATTCATTAGGAACCTTTCTCTTTTAAAGCAGAAGTAACCTTTAAAACTAGAGGTATTTTCAGGAACCTGATAAACCTTGGTGCATATTAATGCATTCTCTGAATGATTACTGAATGAACAATTATGTATGTTGTTAGTTGTCCTTTGCTCAGCAATAATAGGCTGGAAAAAAAATCACCATATGCCACACTTCCTCACTCAGCCCTATGCTGGGAAAGATTACTGTTTATATTCCAAAATTGAAATCAGAGGCCTTTTTTTCTTTGTGCCATCTTCTTTCTGTTTGCTCATCAGCTTCCCATACGCAGGGTTTGCGATTCATATTTAAATAAATGTTTTCCTCCCCAAGATCTAATTGGGTTGTGAAAGAAATATTCAGCTGTGAGCCCTTGATAAATAATCAGTAAGAGCAGAGGATGTGACAGAGGAGTGATATAAACTAATGAGGTTAAGGAAGGAAAATATTTTAGTATGTTGACAAAAGTTGCTTAGGCAGTTATGCAGAAATATGTATGATTTCTTCTAGGCTGATGTGTCACCATACATGGTCCAAAGTATACCTCTGTAGGAATGCAGTCGATGTTGTTAATTTGAGGCCTGAGCGGTAGAAAGAGAAAACCAAAATGAAACCTTCTCCATGGCAACTCGAGAAAATAGAGGGGAGAGATTGTTTTCTGTGGAGCCCATTATTTGAGTATATGTTGGAGATTTTCTTTAGCCTAAACATGTTGTTGACTGCTCCCCCTGCCTATTAATTTGGTTTGCCGTGTAAATGTCATGCTGAGAGAGAGGAGAACATGAGTTATGAATTAGGAGAGAAGTGTTATTTTATATTTCCAATTCCGATTGATTGCTACTTGTTAGATTTTAACAATTTTGACAATTAACTTGTTCATTTTTATGTTGTTTAAAACACATTTCAGTGTAAATTTTATGTAGGAATTTTATGTAGACCAACATAAAGTAAGTGAAGAGGTCTAAAGTTTATACAGTTAAGATTAGAAAACTAGCACAAGAAAGACGTCTGTGTTAAAATGAAATCTTGCACAAACTTGGATGTTAGACTGAAGTGAAAAAGTGTGAAAGTTTCTGCGTTTCAGCAGTTGGACAAACACAGAAGGAGGCATTTTTCTTCTTTGTTTTCATCACTCAGCAAATTGGCTTTTATTCAGCAATGAGTCACTTTTCTCCTTGTTGCAAAGTCAACACTATTTAGTAATATTTTCATAATGGATTTTTATCGGACACCTGTAATTACTTTAGTGAATTAGACATGTTTTTTTTTTCTGCCAGGGGGAAATTGTTCAAAGGAAAGAAGATACTTGAGGATTATGATATCAAAGTGGAACAGGTATGTTTAATGAAACCATTTGGATCCATTTCAGGTGCTTATGTGAAACAAAGAGGATTAATTTTCCTTACCTTGTATAACCTTCTGATTTTTCTGGGTTCAGGCTGAATTCAGTGAGATGAACGTGGTTGCCCATGCCAACGGTTCCTGCAGTGTGAATATGCAGGTCCTCAGAAATGGCACCAAGGTTGTCAGGTCAGACAAACAAATGATTTTAGTCTGTTTTGACTGTTCTGCGTCCGCCCACAGGCTGACTCATCCACATCGCTCTCATCCCTTGGCACAGCTTTGTTTACATGTCTGTTGTTTCTCCATTTTCCAGGTCCTTTAAACCAGACTTTGTCCTCATTCGTCAGCATGCCTTCAGTATGACCCAGAATGAAGATTTTCGCAACCTGGTCATTGGTCTGCAGTATGGGGGTGTCCCAAGCATGAACTCTCTGGAATCCATCTATAACCTCTGCGACAAGCCGTGGGCAGTAAGTGCCAGAACAATGTGGTGGGCAGAGGAACAATTTGTTCTGCATTCTGGGGTGAAGGAGTGCATATTTAGATTTTCAAGTTTCTCTCATATGTGTGTTCAGTTTTCCCAGCTTATCAACACCTACAGGAAGTTGGGACCTGAGAAGTTCCCTCTCATTGAGCAGACCTTTTATCCCAACTACAAGGAAATGGTAAGCACCTCATTTGATTAAAAACAAACTTATTTTGTGGTAATAATCTGTGGTGATTAATAATGAGATAACATTGCAATTCTAACTGAGTTACTGAATATCCTTGTCAATTAGGTGAGCATGCCTGCATTTCCAGTTGTTGTGAAGATTGGACATGCCCACTCCGGTATGGGAAAGGTACAGTGATGTTTCATTCCTTTTTTTAATCGCCCTTGTGAACACAGTGCTTTTAAAACGCATTCCTTTTTAACTACTTAAAAAATCCTGATAAATCCACAAACCCAAGTATATTTTATCTATCAGTTGTTGATACTTGTTAATAAAAAAAAGATAGATAAAATAATTTTTCAAGATTCTTTTAGACAAAATGTCTGAAAATTAAGATGAAAAAACATATATATGATTTCTACAGGTGAAGGTGGACAACCACAGTAAGTTCCAAGACATTGCCAGTGTTGTGGCTCTCACTCAGACCTACAGCACCACAGAGCCTCTCATTGATTCTAAGTATGACATCAGAATCCAGAAGATTGGTACCGACTACAAAGCTTACATGTAGGTATTATTAAATGTCTGTTACCCACCAGGCTGAACAGAGCTAATCTTTTTTATTTAAATGTTTTATACTTATCAGGAGAACATCTATATCTGGCAACTGGAAAACCAACACAGGCTCTGCTATGCTTGAGCAAGTTGCTATGACTGACAGGTAATCCTTTGTACCCTCATTGCTTTGTTTTTATTTGAAGGTGATATGTTATGCTTTTTTAGGTCTTCTAAAGTCAGCTAAAGATTTGGTACTACAGAGTACTAATTTGTTCTAAAATAATAATTTTCTGGCGTTTTTCTTCCCAACCTGGAAGAAATACATATAACCTCACTGTGCTGCCTCTCCCCCTGTGGGTACTGGGTTGCAGCATGGTATCATGTCACTTCAAGCAACAAGGTTCTTTGTTGAAAAGACTTCTTGCAGCCATACACACATTTTCATAGTTGCTGTCACTGTGCAGATTAGGTACTAAAAAAGCGACTTTAGTCTCAACGTAAATAAAAAAAACACTCACATCACCACTCCCTGATCTGAGAAAGTGGCCATGTTGTTTACTGGACAGGCATGAAGTAAATGTATGTACTTCCTTTCAGAGGGGCGGGTAATCATTGTCCTACATAGGATTGTCATGGCCACTGGTTTTCCAGAACATGGAGGACCTGCTGCTACTTAGACATCCATGAATTAAGCAAATGATCACTTTGGGCATAATTTACTTAAATAAAAAGCTTTAGAACACGATTAAAAGCCATGATGTAGACCCTTTAAATCTAAGTTCTACCATTGCTAAATAGTTAATTCAATTCACTTCATTCGTATAGCACCAATTCACAACATATGTCATCTGAAGACACCTTACCGAGACCAATCAACCAGATCATACAGTCAGATTGGTTCAACATTTTCTATCTAAGGAAAACCATCTGATTGCATCGACTCAGTGACTCGAAAGAAATCCCACACACCAAGAACACATTTACAGTGGAAATGAAAGCTCCCTTTTAACAGAAAGAAACCTCCAGCAGAACCAGGCTCGTTGTGAGCGGCCATCTGCTGAGGCCGACTGGGGTTCAAGGAGACAGAAGCAGACATACAGAAAGAAACAGGGATACAAAAGGCAGCTGTCATCCAGCTCCACAGGCAACCCATCCTGGAAACCCACAGCCAGGCAGGCAACCTACGAGCCAGAGTCAGAGGATGAAAGTGAGCACATACATTTAGTCACAGTAAGAGAAACAGAAATATACTGAAAAGAGACTAAGCTCCAGCATCTATAAAATGAAGGTATTGATGGCAGTAGCACAGCTGATATTTCCCTCCAGGATGGTGTCACAGCCAAAGAGGAACAGACCTGATGAAGCTACTATATTGAGAAAAAGCAGAGAGAGCATAAAGGTAGAGATTGAAATAACAAATACTACAGAGTGGGAAAATTAGAGAAATAAGATATAATATTGCACTTTCCATAAGAGATATAGAATGAAGCAGAATGATGAAAAAGGGGTCCCCATGTTCTCTAGCGGTCTACGCCTATAGCAGCATAACTATAGAGATAGCTAAGGATAACCTGAGCCACTCTAACTATAAGCTTTATCAAAAAGGAAAGTTTTAAGCCTAGTCTTAAAAGTAGACAGGGTGTCTGCCTCACGGACCAAAACTGGTAGTTGGTTCCACAGGAGAGAAGCCTGATAGCTAACAGATCTGCCTCCCATTCTACTTTTAGAAATTCTAGGAACCACTAGTTCCTAGTGGATTTAACATTCTGGATTTAACAGGAAGCCAATAAAAAGAAGCCAGGATAGGCGAGATATGACTCTCTTTCTAATTTTCATCACAACTCTGGCTGCAGCATTTTGGATCAGCTGAAGGCTTTTAACTGCAGTTTGTTGACTTACTTCCTGACAGTAAAGAATTTCAATAAACCAGCCTTGAAGTAACAAATGCACAGACTAGTTTCTCAGCATCACCCCTGAACAGTATAGTTCTAATTTTTGCAGTATTCAAGAGATGATTATTGCCATCCAAATGAACAGACTGACTAATCTGCTTCATGGTTCAAAGACAATAACTTCTGTTTTGTCTGCATTTAGAAGCAGACAGTTAAAAGTCATCCGGCAGAGTCACAGTCTGTTGTCTATGTAATGGGTTAGTTTAATTAGGATTTATAGACAGATATAGCAGAGCATCATCTGCATAACATCCATCCCTCTTCTCCCGCTTAGTCTTGTCAGGGTCGTGGTAGGGTCCAGCAGTCTAGTCCAGGGTACACCCTCACCCACTGCGCAGCCTCATCAGCATAACAGTGGACATTAATCTTGTGTTATCTTGTGTTAATAATCCTACCAATTGGGAGCCTATATATATATAGTAAGGAGAATTGCTCCTAGCATTGATCCTTGTGGTAATCCACATGTAACCCTGGAGCATTAAGACGAATTTATCCTTAACATAAATAAAGTCAAATATGTCAGATATATAAGATTTAAACCAGCCTAGTACAGTTCCCTTAATTCCTACAAAATGTTCAAGCATTTCTAAAAGAAGATATCAATTATTAATATTATTTTTTTTCTGTTCATCAAATATTCTTTTCTGCTGAATGATTGATATTAAGACCACATTTTGTAATATTTCTCATACTATGCGTCATATTTTAATTGTTTTCCAGGTATAAGCTGTGGGTGGACACCTCCTCTGAGATTTTTGGAGGTCTGGACATTTGCGCAGTTAAAGCTATTCATGGAAAAGATGGCAAAGATTACATTACAGAGGTAAGAATCTGACATTTCTAAATTGATGTTATTTAGGAGGATATTTACGGATTAGTTTGCACTATTTCAGTTCCATTAAAAAACTTGCATCCAAATATTGGGGACATGAATGTAATATTTCTCTTAATTGGTCTTTCCAGCTAATATTACATAACATCATGATGAAACAAACGTGTCATACATTTTAAAACAACAATTGCGCATACATGTCTTCATTTTAGTGATTTATGTTTTGTTTTGTTGCTGTCAAGCAGCAACAAAGCATTAGCCATGTGCTTTTATAACCAGCACAAAATCATGTAGCTTTATTGGAGCTGGATATTTAACCATTATTGGTAGAATTCTTCATAGGTTGATTAACTTGGATCATTTGATGACACAGGTATTTTTTGTTAGGATACTCGACAAATTGTTAATAGTGTGGAGGTCACAGTTTAGGGAACATTTTAGAGGCTCAATATTAGTATGTATCCCTCTTTGGCTTTTATTTTTTTGCATAAATTTCCTCTGCAACTGCTTATTAGTTCTTGCATCTGCTTTATGCAATACACAAGTATTTTTGACGAGAACACAGCCCCAGAGCATAATGCTGCCATTACGCTGCCTTAAAGTTAGTACTGTGCTTTTCTGTTTTAACGCCCCAACTTTACATTTCTAAGTATTCTTCTTGTAGTGAATAGATCTACTTTTTTTCTCTAATCATAAATTTAAAGGCTTCTTCAGAGGGCCTTAATCTTTCCTGTCTGGACAGCTGAAAAGCTGAGAGAAGTCTTCTGGTTTTGATCCAACAACCTTTTTGTACCCTCTAAAGCTCGCCTCAATGTCGACAGTGGCACAGGGTTTATAGCATTTTTTTTAGTTCAATGTAGGTTTGTGTCTCAATGTTTCCTTTGATGTTCCTGAATGTTCAAACCAAGATCTTTGACCTGATGTAATTATGACTCGAAATCCCAGCCTATTCTATCGATATTTTGTAGCATGTGCTTAAAACCCTGGCATGTGGTGGGAATTTTTACAGTTTGAAACTCCAAAAAAAATCCAGTAAAATGTTTTATGAAAGCCTGTAAAGGGTAACAAAATTGGTTTGAGTTTAAGGATTCTTAACTAATATCAATTTGTGTATTATATTTAAGCCTGCAAAGTGAAATAGGACCCTGTGTAGAATTCAAAAACTACAAAATAAATTATATGTGTTCACCCACCTCCTGTTTTTCAAGCCTCTAAAGTTTTATGCAGTACATCTAAATGTTTCCTTGCAAACAACCTGTATTGCATTTGCACCATTGTATACTGTATGTACATATACTGCTGACCAGAACAATATGCAGGCCAAGACCCTCTTCTAAAAAATATTGTCTAATCAAATTTTTCCTTAAGAGAATAAAAATGTATGCAAGTTATTGCCTTATAATAAAGTAAATTATTCTGATCTTTAGTAGAATGTAAATATATATTAGTGCAGTATGGTTCCTCTGCTGTAACCATCTTCAATGTTGCACAGGTGGTTGGTTCTTCTATGCCACTAGTTGGAGAGCACCAGGCTGAAGACAGGCAGCTTATTGCTGATTTGGTCTTAGCAAAAATGACCCAATTAGCTGAGAGAGAAGCTAATGCTCCCCAGAGACCCACAACCATACAACCATCCCAGGTAAGAAAGCACACTTAAATGCACTAAAAACATGTCCTTCTTGTTTGTTTAATTAAATTAAACTGCTCTTTTGTGTCTAATGTGTGTATTTTTATTCGGGATATAGGGAACTGGCCAGAAAGGTGAGATTACTGGTGAGATCACTAAGAACGGTGCTGGCCGTCCACCTCAAGGTTGCCTGCAGTACATTCTTGACTGTAACGGTGTTGCAGTGGCTCCAAAACCAGTCCAGGCCAACTGAGAGCCACAGAGGGAAATGTCCTCTTAGAGTTTGGATGGCAGGATGCCCATTAGCTGCGCTGACGTTTTGGTGAATGCTGACAGCCACAATCAGATCTGGTTGTTGTGATCTCGGTACAGCTTGGAGCTGACCCGGACTGTGTTTTTTCTTAACTCTATGCAGTGTCAACATGTACTGTCTACCTGTTCACCTGTTGGTTTGTGTGCTTGTATAGGTCACTTGTGTTTCAGCAGCTGTGTGTTTTTTCTTTCTTTCCATTGGGGCTGTTGTTGATAATATAAGAGGAAATTTGTGCCTACACTGAGTTCAGTGCTGCTCTGTGCTAACTTTCTAACCCAGCTATGAAGCTTTCATTTCTTCCTAACTCTGTGTCTTAACTTGATTTACCATAAGTTGGTGTGTACCTTTAGATATTATTCAAACTGTAGGTAACCATGCAGTTTGAACTTGTATATCTCAGTATGTGTAAGATAAATGTGTGTGTATGGTTGTAGTGGTGAATATTTTTGTATTTATACGGATAGATATTTATTTTTGTTTGTTTGCATGACTGAAAGAAAGACTGGTAAAACCTTTAAACGTCTGATGATGTGCGATGTTTATCTAACATGGCTGTTACATCGCTGTGTATAACTAAGCTGTGTTTCTTGTGATTCTATATCGTGAATGTGTAATAACAGATTCATACTAAGAGTATCATGCAGTACTTTTATCTTAATTAAGCATTATTTCATTCTAGAATACTGTCCCTATTATATTACTTATAGTAGAATCTAAAAATATGCCCATATCATAAAAACTAAAAGTTTATAGAAGATTTTATCTTGTAGAAAGTCGTACAGATTCTAAACACAGAACTAAGCTATAATTGAAGAGTTTTAAACCAAAGAGAATATTTAGTGTTAGTCTTCGCATTCCAGAAACCCAAAATGTAAATAAAAATACTGGGACTGTTAATCCTGCACATGGGTGGGGCAGATTAATGGATGACCAGTGGTACTGGATAACAATTACCTTTTCTAATTGTTTGGTTCACATTTGATTCTGTATCAAAGCACTTTTTTTCAGTTGTTCTGAGGCAAAAAATATTTCTAAAATCAAAATGTTTTATGTGTGGATACTGCCTAAAATTGTTAAATATGAAGTCCTGGTGGTAAAATTTACATATAAGCTTTTAGGAAGTGTTTTTTTAAACTGCACTAGAGTCCTTATTCTGATGTTTCGTGTCTTATGTAGTTCTGCTGTGCTCAGATTACTGCCATTGCTGGGAGTTTATGGAAAGTGCAATATTATATCTTATTTCTCTGGATTCCGTGATATTCTTACAGATGCATCTCAGTTTATTAGATTATAATCAGAAATTGCATTTATTTCTTTAATTCAATTCAAAGAGGGAAACTTGTATCGATTCATAGTTAATACATAATTATCCTGCTTTACACATATGAAAAACTAACATTTATTTACGTGTTTTTTTGTTTTGTTTTTGTATTTTTGCCATTTTGGTGCAGAAACATGGCAGAGAGAGATTACTTAACTGTGATAAGTCACAAAAGCTCATTACTAAAGAAGTTGTCTGTATCCCAATATATTAACAGAGGCTTCAATGGAAAACATTTAATAGAAAAAAAAAGATGCATAAGCAACACCGATAATGGCAGCCTTCAGAGTTTATTGTAAAGCAAGGTCTTTTTAAGAGATCTGGGGACATGCATGAGGTGCAGCTAGGGTGCTTCAGGAGCAACTACACACAGATTGATCAAAAGTCAGATGTTCCTGGTCTAAAAGAATAATTACTACAGTATTGAATTGAATTAAAGAAATAAATCAAAATATTGATAATAATTTAGACTGTTCAGATGCAAATGTATGATTAAAATCAGATCTTCCATTAGAATTATTTCAAAAAGCGATAATCAGGATCACATTGAATTACTTTTTAACAAGCGGCTTTTATTTCTGGGGTCTTGTTCACGTGTTGTTGTCCGGTGGTTTATTTACAAAGGCCATCTAGCTTATCTAATATCCTAAATGGTCAAAGGCAACCAAACTGTAAAAAAGAATCCATTCAGCAAGATCTGTGTGCCGTTCTTTTATTTCAAACTGTAATAAGTGCAATTGTTTATCTGTGAGTGTATCCTTGTAAAAAGCCATGCCTGAGGCTTTATGGATGTGTTGTTCTGTTTATTAGGAAATATGCCATGACATTGATGAGCGAAGAGACACAAGTCATTGACGGCTATGTTGTTTGCCCTTAGGCTACTGAATATAGCTGAACTTTGTCATTTGGCCGTCGCGTTGAGGTGATACTCCTGGCTGCAGACTGTACCTAAAACTGAAGAACTATTAGAAGCAGTGCTGAGCTGTAAAAATCAAGGTCTGGTTAAAATTGAAAAAAGTGAAACAATAAGGTGTTAACTATTTATGTCACTGGCAATAAAGCTTCCTTTGCAATACATGGGTTGTTTGTGTCTTTGTATATCAATGTTCCAAAAAAGTAAAAAAAAAAATCAAACCACTGGACTTTGCCTCCCATCCAGGAAGCTTTTCAATTCAAAATGTCAGAATTAGCGTTGAGTTGCAAGCTTTATAGAGTAGCCCAACAAAGCCTTTTTTTGGCTTAGGAAACATGCAAACTGAACCGGAAGAACAGATCCGCCCTAGGAATGGGGATTCGTTGAGGTCTTTGCTAGCCTGCAACACCCGATACTGGTCTATGCCTCTGAAAAGGGAGTCTTTAGGGTAATTGTTGGCCTGGCTGACCAGGAGAGATGTCTTGGTCCCCTGCACACCGATGAGGATTATGATAGTGGGAAGGAATCCACTCTATCGCTATGTTCTAGGTTTTATGATAGTGGAAATCTGAGTCCACCCCCTCAGTTTAAAGGTATAGCGGAGGACTTTCACAAATTTTTGAAAAGACCCACCCTCTCCACTGTAAAAAAAAAAAAAAAAAGCACATGCACAAACCCTAACCCACTCCCGAGGGGGAATGTACACTATATTGCCAAAAGTATTTGCTCACCTGCCTTGACTCACATATGAGCTTAAGTGACATCCCGTTCCTAATCCATAGGGTTCAATATGACGTCGGTCCACCCTTTGCAGCTAGAACAGCTTCAACTCTTCTGGGAAGGCTGTCCACAAGGTTTAGGAGTGTGTTTATGGGAATTTTTGACCATTCTTCCAGAAGCGCATTTGTGAGGTCGCACACTGATGTTGGACGAGAAGGCCTGGCTCTCAGTCTCCGCTCTAATTCATCCCAAAGGTGTTCTATCGGGTTGAGGTCAGGACTCTGTGCAGGCCAGTCAAGTTCATCCACACCAGACTCTGTCATCCATGTCTTTATGGACCTTGCTTTGTGCACTGGTGCACAGTCATGTTGGAAGAGGAAGGGGCCAGCTCCAAACTGTTCCCACAAAGTTGGGAGCATGGAATTGTCCAAAATGTCTTGGTATGCTGAAGCATTCAGAGTTCCTTTCACTGGAACTAAGGGGCCAAGCCCAGCTCCTGAAAAACAACCTCACACCATAATCCCCCCTCCACCAAACTTTACACTTGGCACAATGCAGTCAGACAAGTACCGTTCTCCTGGCAACCGCCAAACCCAGACCCGTCCATCAGATTGCCAGATGGAGAAGCGCGATTCGTCACTCCAGAGAACGCGTCTCCACTGCTCTAGAGTCCAGTGGCGGCGTGCTTTACACCACTGCATCCGACGCTTTGCATTGCACTTGGTGATGTATGGCTTGGATGCAGCTGCTCGACCATGGAAACCCATTCCATGAAGCTCTCTGCGCACTGTTCTTGAGCTAATCTGAAGGCCACATGAAGTTTGGAGGTCTGTAGTGATTGACTCTGCAGAAAGTTGGCGACCTCTTCGCACTATGCGCGTCAGCATCCGCTGACCCCGCTCCGTCAGTTTACGTGGCCTACCACTTCGTGGCTGAGTTGCTGTCGTTCCCAAACACTTCCATTTTCTTATAATACAGCTGACAGTTGACTGTGGAATATTTAGGAGCGAGGAAATTTCACGACTGGATTTGTTGCACAGGTGGCATCCTATCACAGTTCCACGCTGGAATTCACTGAGCTCCTGAGAGCGACCCATTCTTTCACAAATGTTTGTAAAAACAGTCTGCATGCCTAGGTGCTTGAATTTATACACCTGTGGCCATGGAAGTGATTGGAACACCTGATTCCAATAATTTGGATGGGTGAGCAAATACTTTTGGCAATATAGTGTATATTAAATGCGTGCAAGAGCATGAACGAGCCCATTTCTCCTTGTGCACACTCTGTTTAAAAGTTGCTGTTTTCATTGCTCGCACAAGTTTACTTTCCCAAAGAAGACTTGCAATTTTTCCACTATGTCAGACCCATCACCTAAAATGGGGACGAGCACGTAGGACGACCTTACGTAAACATATCACCAGAATGATTGACAATTAGGAGGACCACTTATTTTGATGATCCACCCAGAAAAAGAACATCCTCCACTATACCTTTAAGGTTGTTTTTTCTCTCCTAACACAAATGGCTTTCTTCATACCTTTATCAAACCACCTGTCTTCTTTGTCCAAAAATATGAACATTCTGTTCCTCTAAAATAATGTTTTTTGAAATGACTATGACCTGAATGACTGAGAATTTTCACCAGCATATTGTATATTAATAATTTTCTTAAGTGCTTATCTGTCAGGTTTATTGGGAAGAAACGGGGTATGGATATGTTCCTTAAGAGAACATTTGTACTGAAATGATTTATTGGTATATCAGGTAAATATTTGTCTGTCCTGAAACTGATTTAGATCTTATTACAGAATATTTTTAGCTAAGAAAAACAAATCCATCTTCAGAAACATGACAACAAAGTCAAAATGTTTTATTTTTATACTTTAAGCAACATTTAATTGGCAAACCATGACTTTCTATTTTCAATGGATATAATTTAACACATAGCCAGTCTGGTTCTATGAGGGCCTGGGCCGAGGACCGTACCTCCATATAAGCACGATATAATTATTATTGTTTCAGTCAAAAACAACAACACGCAAAAAAAAAATAAAAGGTAGCACACAACAACTCAAAAACTGAGTTTTTCTATGTGCCATCAGAACAGTACACATTTATGCACATTTTATCTCTTTAAGAGCTACATGGTAATTTTTAACTCACCACCTCAAATAACTTAATGTAATAACAGGCTGTGAAAAAAATTACCTTCCTACAGATGCCTTTTTTTCTTATATCTTCAATTTGAAAATTTGAAATCAAAACTATTTTATTTTAAAGCAAAAAATAAACAGATAAATAAATCATATTTGAAATTCAATATAGCTACTAAAGGAAAACAAGATGTTTCCAGCAACAAAGCCTTTTCTAAAAAAGTAGAAACCCCTACAGGTTAATTTAAACTAACACAGCATTTCAAAAACAGACAAACAGTCCATTGTGAAAAAAACATATCTGGATTTCTTTGTGATCTTAGCTTCGAGCACACATGGGTTATTCAACATAACATTTAAACCAGAGGGGAAAAAAATCCTGCAAAGGCGATGGAAAAGATGAGAATTTTAAAGTAATGCAGCTGCTGTAGCAAAGGTTGACATAACCAGTTATTAGGTCTTAGGTATATATCACTCATGCACATATATCCAGGTAGGTTTGAATAGATTTTCACCTTTTTAATCAAATAATTGTTTAAAAACAGTATTGCCTTAATCTTTCCTGTCTGGACAGCTGAAAAGCGGAGAGAAGTCTTCTGGCTTTGATCCAACAAACTTTTTGTACCCTCTAAAGCTCGCCTCAATGTCGACAGTGGCACAGGGTTTGTAGCATTTTTTTTAGTTCAATGTAGGTTTGTGTCTCAATGTTTCCTTTGATGTGCCTGAATGTTCAAACCAAGATCTTTGACCTGATGTAATCATGAATCGAAATCCCAGCCTATTCTATCGATATTTTGTAGCATGTGCTTAAAACCCTGGCATGTGGTGGGAATTTTTACAGTTTGAAACTCCAAAAAAAATCCAGTAAAATGTTTTATGAAAGCCTGTAAAGGGTAACAAAATTTGTTTGAGTTTAAGGATTCTTAACTAATATCAATTTGTGTATTATATTTAAGCCTGCAAAGTGAAATAGGACCCTGTGTAGAATTCAAAAACTACAAAATAAATTGTATGTGTTCACCCACCTCCTGTTTTTCAACCCTCTAAAGTTTTATGCAGTACATCTAAATGTTTCCTTGCAAACAACCTGTGTTGCATTTGCACCATTGTATACTGTATGTACATATACTGCTGACCAGAACAATATGCAGGCCAAGACCCTCTTCTAAAAAATATTGTCTAATCAAATTTTTACTTAAGAGAATAACAATGTATGCAAGTTATTGCCTTATAATAAAGTAAATTATTCTGATCTTTAGTAGAATGTAAATATATATTAGTGCAGTATGGTTCCTCTGCTGTAACCATCTTCAATGTTGCACAGGTGGTTGGTTCTTCTATGCCACTAGTTGGAGAGCACCAGGCTGAAGACCGGCAGCTTATTGCTGATTTGGTTATTCAACATAACATTTAAACCAGAGGGGAAAAAAATCCTGCAAAGGCGATGGAAAAGATGAGAATTTTAAAGTAATGCAGCTGCTGTAGCAAATGTTGACATAACCAGTTATTAGGTCTTAGGTATATATCACTCATGCACATATATCCAGGTAGGTTTGAATAGATTTTCACCTTTTTAATCAAATAATTGTTTAAAAACAGTATTGCCTTAATCTTTCCTGTCTGGACAGCTGAAAAGCGGAGAGAAGTCTTCTGGCTTTGATCCAACAAACTTTTTGTACCCTCTAAAGCTCGCCTCAATGTCGACAGTGGCACAGGGTTTATAGCATTTTTTTTAGTTCAATGTAGGTTTGTGTCTCAATGTTTCCTTTGATGTGCCTGAATGTTCAAACCAAGATCTTTGACCTGATGTAATCATGAATCGAAATCCCAGCCTATTCTATCGATATTTTGTAGCATGTGCTTAAAACCCTGGCATGTGGTGGGAATTTTTACAGTTTGAAACTCCAAAAAAAATCCAGTAAAATGTTTTATGAAAGCCTGTAAAGGGTAACAAAATTTGTTTGAGTTTAAGGATTCTTAACTAATATCAATTTGTGTATTATATTTAAGCCTGCAAAGTGAAATAGGACCCTGTGTAGAATTCAAAAACTACAAAATAAATTGTATGAGTTCACCCACCTCCTGTTTTTCAACCCTCTAAAGTTTTATGCAGTACATCTAAATGTTTCCTTGCAAACAACCTGTATTGCATTTGCACCATTGTATACTGTATGTACATATACTGCTGACCAGAACAATATGCAGGCCAAGACCCTCTTCTAAAAAATATTGTCTAATCAAATTTTTACTTAAGAGAATAAAAATGTATGCAAGTTATTGCCTTATAATA